GCTTCTTGTCTCCATCCTGGCCAACGTGGCTTAAGCTAGTTGGGGCGCAACAGCTTTGGAGTGGGGCAAGGGAGAGTCTTCTGTCTGACACCAGAGCCCCCTATGGCAGGGGTCTCCACTGATACCTGGACTCCACACCCCACCTGGTCTATTTTTTTACAGAATCAGTAAATGGAGGGTAGCTTTCTGCTTCCCCTTAATTAACAAGACCCAGAAAATAAAACTGGAGGGGGGCTGCAACTCAGTGGCACTTGCCTGGGGGGGGCGGGGGGGAACCAAGGTGTAAAGAAATGTGGAGATAACCTCGATGAAAGAATGGATGAGCTGATAAAGGAGGAAAAGTGGAAAAAAGTGGGAAGCGTGAGAAAGATACTCAAAATAATCCCACCTTGATTCTGTCTGGAATAAGAGGGGGCAGAGAAAAACACTTGGATTCCAAGATTCTGTTGTTATACCTAAATCAATAAAGTAGCTTTCCTCTAATTCTTGTGGTTCCTGGCCTGGCCTACCTCGAAGGGCTGAGCTCAGTCTTGAAAGCCTGTCAGTTTCTCCCTGCCCCACCTTAAGCCAAAGAGATTCAGCACGCAGTTCGTTCTTCTGTGTTTCTTTCTCACGCTTCCCCCTTTCCTGGGACCGACCGAGCGGTTCCTGCATCCCGTCATTAGGCGACCCCCACGCAAGGCAGGCTGAGGTGGTGGGCAAAATAGGCAGCCCCGCGTCTGCTTCCTGCGAAGGGGCTGCGTGTGGCTTGCTTGCCCTCTGACATTTTAAGCATGGGGCTCACCTCCAGCCCGTGGAGCCGCAGGATTCGGATGATTAAGTGGGCTTATGGCAGGTAACCAACGACTTGTGGCAGGTCGGGGAGCAGGATAAGTGCAAGGGAGTGATGGAGTGTGTGTGACTGAGTGTGTGCCCTACCTGCCAACCTCTGTGGCCCTTGGGGCCCCAAGGGCTGCCCTCTGAGCCCCTCAAAAGTTTAGATTTCAGAGCCTGTCTCCCATTTTCCAAGCTCTCTTCCAGTTAGCCCAGATGGACCGGGAGCTACGGTCACTCAGGGAGAGGGGCGGTAGGTGCCATTCTCTTGGTGGGCCGGGAATTTCCTGCATCAGAACAGAGC